GTGTTTGCGCATTGTTGCGAGCGTAGCAGGGCCCACAATCGCAATAGAACAGGGCGAATGATCGCCCTGCCCACACGCAGTACATCGCACGTTTTTGCGCTGTACAGCACGACCATGTGAGAAAGTAGGGATCGAGAATGACTAGAAACAGGGCAGTACAAGGTTTGTATAGGCAAAACCTAACAATACTGTACCTCATAAGGAGTGCCCCACAACAGCCTACAATATAGTTATGACACACCCCCATAGGCAAAGTGGGGGACAAGCAAGAGAACAAGGCAAGGTCAAGCTCAGGGTGGATCACAACGTCACCACGCATTCTGAGCACAAGTACAAGGCTAGTTCACATGCAGGTTTTTAAAACAAGGTGAAAAAGCAAGACAGTGATCTTAACCTAGCAAGGGTAAGCAAGCAGGTTCAGGTATATATAGATCACAGTACAAGCAAACTCAAGAGGTAAGCAAGTGAGGCCAGGTAGGCACAAGACATAACTGTCAGAGGTCCACTGGTGATCCCCGATTGATCCTAGGGAAGGGTTACATGCACGTTGGCCTGGGGGGTTATGGGCGCACTGACCCGCTACTTAACAAGCCCTTTTATCCCAATGGTCTAGTGGTTGGGATTCTGACATGGTATCAGAGCGAAGGTCTCGGGTTCGTATCCCAGTGTATGCACTTTGGGCATCCCAGTGCGGGGGGGTGTCAGAGGTCCACTGGTGATCCCCGATTGATCCTAGGGAAGGGTTACAGGCACGTTGGCCTTGGGGGTTATGGGCGCACTGACCCGCTACTTAACAAGCCCTTTTATCCCAATGGTCTAGTGGTTGGGATTCTAACAATAACATAGTACAAAACCGCTGATGATCACAAGGCTAAAGTGCCTTGGTAAAGATATCCGCAGTGTTGGCCCGAGTGGCCACGTAGGCAAGACGAAACTGACCACGCTGCTGCAACTCTCGAGCAAGGAAGTAGCAAAGAGCAATGTGCTCGTTCTGTGCTCCAGTCTGTGCTCCTAACACAAGGCCAGCATGGCCTTGTTGTCGACGTACAGAACTGGAGGAGAACGAGGCGCCTCTTTTAAGCCGGTCCGCAGGTAGGTGAGCCAGCGTAACTCCTGTGCAGCCATGGCCCCAGCGTAGATCTCAGCCTCATAACTAGAGCTGAGAATAGAAGACGAGCGGGTAAACCGCCACGAAACAGAGCCGGAACCAAGGCTGAAGGTGTAACCCTGTGACGACCGCTGCGTAGCCAAGTCGTCAACCCAAGAAGCGTCTGCGTGACCAGTGAGGACAGCTCGACCCCGTCCTCCAAGCTCGAGCCCCATGCCTGACGTACTGCACAGGTAGCGCAACACCCTCTTAGCTGCATCCATGTGCTCTGGTCTGTGTCTCCCAGGAGCAACTTAGCGTGCCAAGATGCTAAGAGGGTATGCCAGGTCAGGTCGAGTGCAGGTCATCAGGTCTATGAGACAGCCAACGAGCTCTGGGTACGGGCCACTCGGCTCTACAGACTCATCCGAAGGCAGAGCTGAGAGCGAGTGGCGAGTAGACAGAGGAGTGCCCTGAGGCGAGGAGTGCGTGAAGTTGAAGCTCTGAAGAACCAGCTGCACCATGTGTGACTGAGTCGAGGTAATGGTGAGCCGTGCTCTGTCCCGGGTGATTTGCAAGCCAAGATAGCTGCGCAGTTCACCCAGGTCTGTGCACGTGTGTCTCTTCTGCAGCTCTGACTTCATGTAGGCGAGTCGAGCAGTGTCAGCAGTAGCAAAGACCAAGTCGTCGACGTACACGAGGATGTAGAACGACGGCAGAGTAGTGTCGGTGCGGAGAAACAGCGACGGGTCAGCAGTGGAAAGAGCAAACCCTAGAGCCGCAAGCGTAGTCCTCAGTGTGTCGTGCTACTCACGGGGCACCTGGCGGAGACCGTAGACTAGCCGCTGGAGGCTCCACTGGGTACCAGGAGCAAACGACTCAGTGAAGCCAGGTTGGCGGCGCTCCTCGTGCAGGCTGCCGTGTAGGAAGGATGTGCTAAAGTAAAGAGAGTGATGCGCGTAGTCACGCTGAGCAGCAACGTGCAGCAGTACCCGAAGAGTGGTCATCTTCGAGGTGGGAGAGAAGGTCTAAAAAGTGGTCAACTCCCTGTCGCTGACTGAAGCCTCGAGCAACGTAACGCGCCTTGAAGACAGGCGAAGAACCCGGCGGTCGCTTCACCCTGAAAATCCACATGCCATCAACAATGTTCGCCCCAGGTGGGGGAACCTCGTCGACGTAGGTGCCTGTGGACTTCCAGGAAGCCATCTCTGCGTCCATGGCTGTCTGCCACTTAGAGGAGTAGGGACCCTCTATCCCCTCTGCGTAAGAGCGCGGGGTCGGGATGTATGTTGCATCCGGATCTCCCTCACGGGCACGCAGCATGGACATGAGATGAGGTAAAGCAGCAGCAAAACCGTGGAACTCCTCATGCCTGTCCTCAAGGACGTCCGTGCTAAGAGCACACTCACCCCCGATGGACGGAGGACAGACAAACTCAGACTCAGCAACAAGACTAGCGACGTAGTCCAGACGACAGTGAGCAGCAAAGTCGACAAGCTCCGCAACTAAGGCAGATGCAGCAATGGACTCAAAGGAAGGGTCAGTGACAGCAGTGGCCAGGAGACGCGTGACAGTATAACTAGCAGCACGAAGGGAGTCAGACTCCGGGTCGGCAAGGGCAGGAAGAGAGGACGCGTGAGGAGACGGAAGAGGGACACGTTGCGGAGCAGTGGAAGGGCGTAGAGCCATCTGGATGTGTGCGAGGGTCAGGAGGAGGACCCTGACGCGAACCACGACGACTAGTGCGAGCAGCACGAACAGGCAACGCAGGACGAGACTCAAGCTCACGATGCTCAGCAAGACCTCCGGTCGGACCAGTGTAAGGAGAAGGATTAGGCAGTGGGGGAGGCGGGCTGTAACTGTGACCGCGACTGGACAGGCCGTGGACACTCTAAGGAAGGAGCAGGACCAGTAGAATGCGGGAGACCAAGAACCTACTGAAGGAGCGGAACATAGTACGGCCGCGGTCGCGCAGCGCCTCCAAAACCTTCAAGGACAGCACCAACACCCCCAGTGTCAGCTCCAACTCCAGCAGCACTACCAGCTCCAGCAGCACATCCATCAGCACCAGTAGCACCAACTCCAGCACCCACAAGAGCACCGGCTCCAGCAGCACCTCAAGCTCCAGCACCTCCAGCAGCTCCAGCTCCAGCAAGGCCACCAGAAGCCCCAGCAGCCCTAGTAACGCCAGCTCCAGTACCTTCAGCAGCACCTGCTCCAGCACCTCCAGCAGCTCCAGCTCGAGCTCCAGCAGCACCACCAGGCCCAGCAGCTCCAATACCTCCAGTACGAGTACCTCCGGGACCAGTGGCTCCAGAACCCCCAGCAGCTCCAGCAGCAGCACAACCTCCAGCGCCCGTAGCACCACCAGCTCCAGCAGCACGGCTCCAGCGCCGAGAAAACCACTCGCACAGCTGTTGTGGAGAGAGTGGCTCCCGTCGAGCCGAAGCACCCAAAGGACCTCCAGGCTCAGCACCTCCAGACTCCACACGCGCAAGCTCAGCACACTCAGGCTCCGCACCCCCAGACTCAGCAACCCCAGGCTCAGCGCCCCCAGGCTCAGCAACCCCAGGCTCAGCGCCCCCTGGCTCAGCACCCCCAGACTCAACACCCCCAGACTCAGCACCCCCAGGCTCCGTACGCTCAGGTTCAGCACCCCCAGACCCGGCACCCGCAGGCTCAGCACCCCTAGCAGCACCAGAGTCAACAGCTTCCTCGACAAGTTCGACTGCGTCTACCTGGGACACACCTGAGGGGGCAGGACCTTGAGGGGGGAGGGGGTCTACAGGGGGAGGACCTGGCACGAGGAAGAGTGGTGGGGGGGGGGAGGGGGGCAGTGCGGTAGGGGAAGAGACGGTAGTGAGGAACTGACTTGTTAAACATGACGTCCTGAGAGGACAGAACACGGCGCAAGGTGGGGTGGTAAAACTGCCAACCAATCGCGTCAGGGGGGAAGCCAAGGAAGACACAGGGAAGAGCACGGGAGGACAGCTTGTCCGTAGACAAGTCGCGGATGAAAGCTCGAGATCCCCAGACACGGAACGCAGACGCATCACAAAAAAAGCAATCGGCTCTGCGATTACCAATCAAAGTCTAGCATGTGAAATAAATAAGATTTACAAACATCGCCTGCTTGTCATGCCACCTTCGGCGCTGCTGTGGCTGCTTCTCTGCCTTCCTTACGCCTGCCACTGCTCTGCCTGCCCCCGCAGCTGGCTGGACAACAACATCATTGAGGGCCCTCTACCAACTAGCCTGTCCTTGCTTCCTTGGCTGTGGCGCATGTGGGTGAAGATGTTTGCAGCAAAGCTAAAATACTGACGTTTAAATAGTATGCAGCCAAGAAACTAGTAGACTCTTGCTTATTGAAAGTAAGTCATAGTGCATCCATGATTTTGGATTGCAAGGAGTTATGGAAACTAGCCGCATCTCTATGCCTATGCCATACCTTCTGAGTGTGGTTTATGGCGTGGCATGGTGTGCGTGGTGCTTTCGGCAGCATGATGAGCAACAACCACCTCTACGGGCCCCTGCCAGACTGCCTCTTTAACAAGTGTATCAACCAAATGCGAGTCAACTCAGCTACTCAATTCCCAGTACCATGCATGCAGCAGCTCGCACCCTCAATATGGTCAACAGAACAAAGAGTGATTAGAGGCATAGGACCAGTGTTGACTCTATCATAAGACGACATACGAGCACTTAGTCCCAACTCTTTGTCCTTGTGCTCCCCCAGCGATGTGAGCAACAACAGCCTGTATGGGCGTATCAACCGCAACTTCAAGAACATGGTGGCGGATGGCGATGCGCTCATCAACTTGGCGCACAACTTCTTCTTTGGTGATGCCGTGCTCTTTGCTGCCGGCTCGACATGCGCCATCGTCAACTCCACCACCACCACCGGTGAGCCCGCATGGTAGATGGCGCTGCCCGGATTGTAGATGGTGCTGCCCGGATTGTAGATGGTGCTGCCCGGATTGTAGATGGTGCTGCCCAGATTGTAGATGGTGCTGCCCGGATTGTAGATGGCGCTGCCCGGATTGTAGATGGCGCTGCCCGGATTGTAGATGGCGCTGCCCGGATTGTAGATGGCGCTGCCCGGATTGTAGATGGTGCTGCTCGGATTGTAGATGGTGCTGCCCGGATTGTAGATGGTGCTGCCCGGATTGTAGACGGTGCTGCCTGGATTGTAGATGGTGCTGCTCGGATTGTAGATGGTGCTACCCAGATTGTAGATTGGGCTGCCCGGATTGTAGATGGTGCTGCCCGGATTGTAGATGGTGCTGCCCGGATTGTAGATGATGCTGCCCGGATTGTAGATGGTGCTGCCCGGATTGTAGATGGTGCTGCCCGGATTGTAGATCGTGCTGCCCGGATTGTAGATGGTGCTGCCTAGGTTGTATATGGTGCTGCTCAGATTGTAGATGGTGCTGCCCGGATTGTAGATGGTGCTGCCTGGATTGTAGATGGCGCTGGCCATTCTTACATGGTGTGACAAGCGCCTCGTGGAATTACTCTTATCCACAACTTGTCACTCCCTTTGTCATCCTGCCTGTTGCTCATTCTTCCCCCTTTTTTGCCCCCACCACCCCCTCCCTCACCCCCCAAATTACCGCACCCCTCCTGCCCTGCCCAACCCTCCCTCTCCTTTCCCCCTTTTCCCATGATAGTGACCTCGCTCTCCACGGGCGTTATAGTGGGCATTGCTGTGGGCTGCTTTGCTGGCTTCACTCTGCTCGCTTCTGTGCTCGCATGGCTGCTGTGGCCCCGTGGACCAAGTGAGCCCTCAACCCTTGTTCAATTTCGCCCCCCTTTTTGATTCACCTCTTTCCCGGCCTCCTACTCTGGTCTCCCCTGTTCTGCCACCACTGCACTACAGCTCTTCCTCTCTCTGCTTCCCGTGTGCTCTGCCCAGTCATCTACACCCTTGCGTGCTGACTCCTCTCGTCTGTCTTTGTGTGAGCACAGAGAAGTGGGAGGGGCTGGATGCGTGTGAGCAGTTCTCGCTGCAGCAAATGGTGAAGGCCACCAAGAACTGGTCAGAGGATAATGTGCTGGGAAAGGGTGGCTTCGGCATTGTATACAAAGGCCACTCGCCACAGGGCCAGCTCTGGGCTATCAAGCGCTCCACTGTCATGACCAACGACTTTGAAATAGAGGTGTGGCAAACCTAACTGTTAGCAACCTCTCTATACTATTCCTTCTTGAGAAGATACGAGTATGCTGTTGCTTTGTTTTTTTTTTTTTTTTCTACTTATTTGATGCAAACCTGTGGATTCAGTTCCCACCTTTCCATGTCCACATATTGCGTGCCTGCAGGTGCGAGCCATGGCCTCTCTCCACCACACGCATCTCGTTCGCCTACTCGGCTTCTGTTTGGACCAGAACGTGGAGACGGGCAAGCAGGAGCAGATCCTGGTGTACGAGTTTGTGGGCAATAGGGACCTGCAGTACAACATTTACAGAACCAAGAGTAAGTTACGGTACCTTCACAATTGCCAGGCGATTGCTCGCTAGCTGAGAACATGAAACCATTACTAATGTGAACACATGTTGTGCTGTTATTTCATTATCTCCCCTCCAGGGCCGCTCTCACTTCGCCAGAGGTTGCGGTTGGCACAAAGAGCAGCAGAGGGCCTGGCATACTTGCATGGCTTTGACACACCCATCGTTCATCGTGACATCAAGCCGGCCAACATTCTTGTGACTGCCGACTTTCAAGCCAAGGTGGTTGACTTTGGGCTGCTGAAGCGCCTCACTCATGGCGATGCTCATGCCACCCGAGTGGCCGGCACTCCGGGCTATGTGGACCCGGATTACAACCGCACCAACATCATCACTGCCAAGAGTGATGTCTTCAGGTCCGCATGCTGGTTCTGTATCACTACGTAACAAACTCCTGCGAATCTTGTCCCTCCCTGTTAGTAATTTTCATTGAATTGCCATCTTCATCCGTATTCTCCTCCTTCCAATTTCGTGATTTGTTGCAGCTTTGGCATCGTGATTCTTGAGTTTCTAAGTGGAAAGTCACCCCAATCGTGCAAAGACACGCATATCAGAGATTGGGTATGGTCAACAAACTCAAAACTGTCTCTGACCTCGTTCTTTCATGCCCATAACTCGTTTTTCATGCTGCCTTCCACCACCTTTGCTCGTCATGCTGCTCTGTACCACCTCTCCTCTCTGTCATCTTTCTTTTCTCGGATGCATTTCTGTCAAAACATTATAGCTTATACATTATAGCTTATGCTGCTCGCTGTCGTCTAGACTACGCTGCCAGTCTCGTTGCTGAGTCTGAGTCTGTCTGTCCTCCGTCCGTCGTGGGTGAGTGTGCTCTTAGCACGAACGTCCTTGAGGACAGGCAGGAGGATTTCCAGTGCTTTGCTGCTGCTTTGCCCCATCTCGTGTCCACGCTGATTGCCCTTGAGAAAGACCCGGATGCACCAGACATACCGACTCCTCGATCTTGCTGCCTTTCTCACAGTCGCTGACCTCATTACGCACCTCCACACTAGTGACACTCGCTACCGCGCTGCGCTTCCTGCTGAGTTCTGTGCCAAGAACCCCCCCCCCCCCCCCCCCCCCCTCCATGTACATCACCCTCTACTACATAGTCACCCGGCTCCGTGACTCTCTCCGCGTAGTCAGGGACCACTTCCTCTCAGTTTGCCCCACCACTCTCACCGTTGACCTCCTCGAGAAGGCCCTCCTAGCAGCAGAGAAGAGTATAGTCTAGGAGCCTCTCGTGGTGACCCTCGCACCCCCGTCTTTGAGGGGTGTTCTCCCTCCCCCCTCTTGCCCTCTGTTGCCTCTGCTGCTACGGCCGACCTCGTTGGTTTCGAGTCGGTCGGCGCTGCGTCTGCCCCGAGTGGGAGACGCCGCACCGGCAAGGGCAAGGGGGGCAAGGGCGCTGGAGGGGCTGGCGGGGGCGGTGGAGGTGGTGGTGGAGGCAGTGGAGGGAGTGGGGGTGGTAGTGGGAGTGGTGTCGGGGGTGGCGGCGGCGGCGGAAGCAGGAGGCGGCGGAGGCAACAGTGGTGGCGGAGGAGGCGGAGGTGGAGGAGGCGGCGGAGGCGGCGGCGGCAGCGGTGGTGGTGGAGCGGGTCGCGACTCTGCGCAGAGGAGTGGCTCAGGTGGTGGTCCGCGCCAGCAGCAGCGGAGTGGTGTGACCCTGTCCCCTCAGCAGCTTCGTGAGTGGTACACTGCGCGCTAGCGCGGTGGGGGTTTTGGTCCCTGCACTTACGCCCTCAGTACCGGTGACCGAGCTGGTGAGCAGTGCGGGGGCCCGCACTCCAACCAGCGCTGCTTCGGTCGCCTGACCGACGCGTGGCGTCGCCAGTTCCCTGAGGCGTCAGAGATCCCTCGCTGGGGAGATTTGTCTAGGGCGGGGGTTGCCGTCTTTGATCTTGACTACGATGCTATCCTTGCTGCCATGTATTCTGTGACTACTAGTGTTCAGGGTGACTGTTACCTGTGTGTACCGCCTGACCTGGGCATTGAGGCCACTGCTCTAGGTGCTGGTGAGGCTGCCGCTCTAGGTGCAAGTGCGTCTGCTGCCCCAGGTGCCAGTGCGTCTGCTGTCCCAAATGCCAGTGCGTCTGCTGCCCCAGGTGCAGGTGAGTCTGCTCTCTCAGGTACTACGCCGGCTCAGGCCTTCCACACCTTCACCCTTGACACGGGTGCGTCTCGCTCCTTCTTTCGAGACCGCACCACTCTTACGCCACTCAGTCGGCCGGTTGCAGTCTCCCTGGCAGACCCCTCTGGGGGTCCTGTCCTTGCTAGCTTCTCCACTGTCTTACCGTGCCCGGCAGCCCCCTGTGGCACCCTGTCAGGTCTCTACCTCCCCTCGTTCTCTACGAACTTGGTGAGTGGAGCGGACCTACAGGATAGGGGGGTTGACCAGTTCACTCCTGCGAGTCAGCGAGTGACCCACTGCACGTGTGCTCAGACAAGCCGACACCTGGCCACATTCACTCGTCGGCCAGGGTCGAGCCTGTACACCCTTACTACTGAGTCTCCTCCCGCTGCTAAGTCTGGCCAGGTAGCTGCGTCGAGTCAGGTGTTTGCTGCAGCGTCCAGGTCTGGTCCTGAGTCTGCTCCCTGCTCGTGTCGTCTCCTGTCCCACCAGACTCTCCTCTGGCAACACCGCCTTGGTCACCCCTCCCTGCCTCGTCTCCGAGGCATGGCCTCCCGTGTCCTTGTCTCTGGTCTCCCTCGGTCTCTCCCTCCCCTACCTCCGGGGCCTGGCCCTACCTGCGTCCCCTGCGTCGAGGGGCGACAGCGCGCCGCCCCTCACTCCTCCGAGTTTCCTCCGACAAAGGCTCCGCTACAGACCCTCCACATGGACGTGTGGGGCCCCGCCCGCGTCCGTGGACAGGGGCACGAGCGTTACTTCCTGTTGGAGGTTGACGACTACTCGCGTTACACCACAGTCTTCCCCTTGCGCAGCAAGGGTGACGTCACTAAGGTGTTGATCGACTGGATCCGCGCAGCTCGTCTCCAGCTCAAAGAGAGTTTCGGCTCGGACTTTCCTGTTCTTCGTCTGCACTCGGACAGAGGCGGGGAGTTTTCCTCTGCCCGTCTGGGAGCCTTCTGTCGTGCACAGGGCATCCGCTAGACCTTCACGCTTCCGGCCTCTCCACAGCAAAATGGGATTGCTGAGCGCCGCATTGGCATGGTCATGGACGTCACTAGTACGTCCATGATGCATGCGGCTGCCCCCCATTTTCTGTGGCCGTTTGCGGTTCAGTACGCCGCGCATCAGTTCAACCTTCTGCCCCGGGTCTCCTTGCCAGAGACCTCCCCCGCCTTGCGGTGGACCGGAAAGGTTGGCGATGCGTCTGCGTTTCGGGTCTGGGGATCTCGGGCGTTTGTCCGCGACTTGTCTGCGGACAAGCTGTCCCCCCGTGCTGTTCCCTGCGTCTTCCTTGGCTTCCCCCCTGACGCGTCTGGGTGGCAGTTTTACCACCCCACCTCGCGCCGTGTTCTGTCCTCCCAGGACGTCACCTTTGACGAGTCGGCGCCTTACTACCGTCTCTTCCCCTACCGCACTGCGCCCCTCCCCCCGCCACCGCTCTTCCTTGCACCAGGTCCTCCCCCGGTAGACCCCCTCCCCCCTCAGGGTCCTGTTCCGTCAGGTGTGTCCCAGGTAGACGCAGTCGAGCCTGTCGAGGTAGCTGTTGACTCTGGTGCTGCTAGAGGTGCTGAGCCTGCGGGTGCCGGGTTTGGGGGTGCTAATACTGGGGGTGCAGAGCCTGGGGGTGTGGAGTCTGGGGGTGCTGAGACTGGGGGTGCTGAGTCTGGGGGTGTTGAGCCTGGGGGTGCTGGGTCTGGGGGTGCTGAGTCTGGGGGTGTTGAGCCTGGGGGTGCTGGGTCTGGGGGTGCGGAGCCTGGAGGTGCGGAGCCTGGGGGTGCTGAGCCTGGGGGCGCTGGGTCTGCTCGTGTGGCCATCGGCGGTGCTTCGTCGATGCGGGAGCCAGTCTCTCCACAGGAGATGCGCGAGTGGTTTGCACGTCGCTGGAGACGTGCTACTGAGACTGGGGGTGCTGCTGGGGCTACTGGACTTGGTCCTGCTGGAGCTGCTGGCGGTTTTGGTGCTGTTGGAGCTGGAGCTGCCGGGGGTGTTGGCGCTGGTGTTTCTACTAGCGCTGGTGCGTCTGGGGGTGCTGCTGAGGCTGCTGGAGCTGGCGGTCCTACTGGAGTTGGTGCTGCTGGAGCTGGAGCTGCTGGTGGTGTTGGCACTGGCGGTGCTGCTGGCGCTGGTGCTTCAGAGGGTGCTGGAGTTGGCGCTGTTGGAGCTGGAGGTGCTGCTGGCGCTGGTGCTGCCGCTTGGGGTAGTGGTGCCGTCCCTGCTGGTTCTGGAGGCGCTGCGCGGCCGAGGCCGTACTTCGTTCCGCTTTTGGAGCAGGTTCTTGGTCTCCCGCCCTCAACTGGTCCTGCTCCTTCCTTAGAGTGTCCACAGCCTGTCCAGTCGCAGTCACAGTTACATCCCGCCTCCCCTCTCCCTACACTGGTCCTACTGGAGGTCTTGCTGAGCGTCGTGCGCCTGCGCCTCTTCCTGCGTCACCTGTTCGTACTGCTTGCACTAGTGGTCGTACTGCGCGTCAGCGTCCTCCTGCGGTCCCCGGCACACACCAGATGGCGCTGCGTCCTTCCACTACTCCTCTGCGTGTCCCGTTGCCGTCTCCTCCAGAGTCCTCTCTTCCTACTCTTGCTGGCCCGGAGTCTGACTCCCTTCGTGCTGCTAGTCCTTCGGTCACGCGTCTCCTTGCTTCTGTTGTCACGAACCCTTCCTTTGAGTCCATTGATGCGTCTGCCCTAGTTGCTGAGCTTATTGACTTTGCTGCTCGCTTTCGCCTAGACTACGCTGCCAGTCTCGTTGCTGAGTCCGAGTCTGTCTGTCCTCCGTCCGTCGGGGGTGAGTGTGCTCTTGGCACGGACGTCCTTGAGGACAGGCAGGAGGTGTTCCAGTGCTTTGCTGCTGCTTTGCCCCATCTCGTGTCCACGCTGATTGCCCCTGA